AGAAGTCTGGAGAGGAGACCACGATCACCACCACAACTTCTACTGCCAACATGACCTCCACCGAAGAGACTGGCGGCAGCGGGGGCTACTCCTCCTCCGAGGAAATGGACGACGAGCTAAAGATGCTCGACAGTCGCGAGTTTTCGCCCATCAAGCCGAATGATGTGGACGACGGTGGGCAGGAGCAGCAGGAGCCGCATGCGACGATGTACAGCAGCGCCGTCAGCCACACTCAGGAGATGTTCGCCACCGCCGGCGGGAAGACCACCACCACCAACTTCATTTCACCGCACACCGACGCCGATGCGCTGGAGAGCGACGGCGAGCTGCTCGACCTGGAGCACGACCTCCCCGAGACGGTGACGGTCCTGAAGACGAAGGACAACAGCCACACCATCTACCTCATTGGCACCAGTCACTTCAGCAAGCAGAGTCACCGGGACGTCAGACGGGTAAGTGTGGGCTAGGTGTTCAAAGGGGTGTTCGGTAATGTCTAATCTAATCTAACCCTCATTGCCTCTTTGCAGGTAATTCGAACCGTCCGACCGAGTGTGGTGATGCTGGAGCTCTGCCGCAGCCGAATGTGCTTCCTGACGATGAACGAAAGTGAGATCATGTCGGAGGCAAAGTCGCTGGACTTCTCTAAGATTCGCGACTACATGAAGAAGGTGAGTGACACTCGCTAGGCTTTAATATTGAATTGGTTTACAGCTTTCTCTCCCCCTCTCCTGTAGAACGGCTTCGTTCAGGGCTTTATCTACACCCTGCTGCTGACCGCCAGCGCCAAGGTGACCAACGACCTGGACATGGCGCCCGGGGGCGAGTTTCGAAATGCCTTCAATGAGGTAAGTGCTGCCGCAGTGCTTCCACAAGTGCTGACTCTATTTGAATGTTTTCGCTAATCTCTTCTTGTTCTTTTCCTTCTCCACCACCACCACCTTTCTTTGCAGGCAGTAAACGTACCCGACTGCCAGATCATGCTCGGCGACCGCCCCGTGGACATCACCCTCCGCCGGGCGATCAGCACGCTGAGCACCTGGCAGAAGATCAAGATGACCTACAACTGCCTCTTCACCAGCGAGACGCTCAACGCCGAGGAGCTGGAGCGCTACAAGCAGAAGGACGTCCTCGAGCAGCTGATCGGCGAGCTGAGCGAGGAGTTCCCCGGCCTGTCGCGGGTGATGGTGGAGGAGCGCGACCAGTACCTCGCTCACTCCCTGCTGGACGCCTGCCACCAGGCGAAGCCCGGCGAGCCGGTGGTCGGCGTCGTCGGCATCGGCCACTCCGCCGGCATCAAGGCGCACTGGGACACCGTGGAGAGCATCAACGTCGCCGAGCTAGTGACGTAAGTTGTAGTGTGTGTGTTTTCTTATTAGACTTAGTCCTAATCCCCTTCCTTATCCTCTCTCTCCTGTGCAGCATTCCAACGTCCAAGCCCTCGAAGACGATGCTCGTCATCAGGTACTCCTTCTACGGACTGGTCGGCTACGGCGTCTACCGCTACGTGCTGCCCAAAGCCGCCAAGAGCCTCCTCGTGCAGAGCACCGCCCAAGTGGCGGCCAAGGTCGCTGGCGTCTTTTCTCGCTAAGAGGAGAATCTTTGGTTCTGACTGCCTCACCACCACCACCACCACCACCACCACCACCGTTTCCTATTCTCACGTTCTCTAAACAGCCTACAAAAAGTGCACAAAGCTACTCTCTTTCTTTTCTTTTCCTTTCTTCTGTTGTTATTTTATAATGTACAGATTTCTGCATGCTGTAATTTCATTTTTTACTTTTTTTATAATTTCTCTGCACTTCTTTGAATGCTGTTCAAGTTTCTCCTCCTCCTCCTCTTCTCTCCCTTGAGCCAACTGTACACGCTGAACACTCTCTTGTTGTAGTTGATGATGATGATTATTAAAAGTTGAAGAAAGTGCTGCTGCTGCTGCATTAAAATTACCTTGAAACTGGTTGGCTGGCTAACTAATTAACCCCTCCCAACTCTACTGCAAGAAACATTTCACAAAACAAAGTTTTTGCCAATTTAAAGTTCAGAGTGGGACTGCTGAGCAAAGCAGAAAGAGAGCGTGCTAATTAGTGAGATGGCAAAAAAGTTGAAAAAAATTCAGAGAGAGTTTTGCCAAAAGGTACAGCTTTGAAATGCTGCTGCTATTGTCTCTCTGATGCATTTTAGAATGAAAAGAAAAGAGGAAACAGCAGAGTTCAATTTTTCATTCCATTCTTGAATTGAATAGAAAAACTACGACGACGACACTTCAAGACGACTTTACTGCGTCGTTCACCCTCACTCTCTCGCATTTCACTTTCAATCTCCATTATCCACTGCCACTCTCAGTTGGTGGACACACACACACACTGCTTCCAGTTTTACTCAAAGCAAGTGAGTGTTTGCTGTGTGCTTCTAATTCGATTAGCTAAAGTAGTGGTGCCCACTTCAAACTATCGTCCAGGCTGAAGCCTTGATGAAAAAGAAGAAGTGTCTACAAACTTGTGGAGAAGAAGAAGAAATCATTACCACGATCTTTAAAAACTCCTCCACCACCACCACCACCAATTTCAAATGGTCATCTACAAAACACACAGACAGACCGACTAAAACAGTTCTGGACGGTGGTAATCTATTGCCTGCTTTTGGCCATTTAGTCACCAAGCACACACACAAACACAGACAGACACACATACATCTAATTTAATGGCGGCCGATTTGTCATTGAGGAGGAGCGAGGAAACACTCGCACACACACACACTTTTGATGAAATCATTTAGGTCGTTTTAGTATTTTTTTTGCTAGATTTTGGTAAAAGAAATGCGCGTGAATTAGCGCAAAAGCAAGGCTAGCAATGGTCAGTTGTGGGCGATGGTTGGCGGGCAATAAAGCAAACTTTTTTCCTCCTCCTCCTTCTTCATCATCTTCATCTTCCGCTTGTCTGTGTCTCTGTCTCTTCCACACTGATGTGTTTCCTCTCGCCTGAGTCGTCCTAAAAAATTGCTACCAAACTAGCCTCGCAAACTGCCCCTAAACTGGCAGTTTAAAAGTGGAAAAGTGGAAAACGAGAATTTCCCTGCACTCTGTGCTCTACAGATTGATAATTTATACGTTTGAAAAAATGAAACCACTGCTACTAAAATAAAAAACCGCTCCGACTGGTAACATCATAACCAGCCAGTCAGCTATCACCAGCCAACTGGCTG